ATCACTAGGCAGGCCGAACAAAGGCCTGTTTCGGCACCTGAAAATATGCCATGATCTGTAGCCTTATTTATACAGTAAACTTTATCTTATGGATTTACTAGCATACTGCTAGCTATTAGTTTTCAATCCGGTATCAAAAACCGCGAAGGATTATATATATTAGCGGTGGTGTCAGTAACGTTTTGCTGTTCGTAACTCCATCTGCTACCATTCTCTAAACGTGTTGGCGAACCTGAGGCTCGTATTTATCATTTATCAACCTCAGTTATCGCTCCTGCGGGCGTTCCGTTACAATTGCCGCATGGAATAAAGAAGTGAGATTGGTAACGAGCTAATCGCGTAAGATTAAAGTATGACAATTCGCTGATTAATTCATTCAATAAGTTAACATATTAGGTGATCGCTGAGATGATATCGTTGAAGAGATAGAAGCAGAAAAATGGAGAGCACAGACAGAAAATGAAAAACAATTTTATGGCAGAGACTGCGCTGAAAAGAAATGCAGTTTCAAGAGGGTAAAAGGAACTGCGTACACCAAACAATGTGTGGAGAGGTTCAATGGCATGAAAATGAGCATTTTAGCATCAGCTATAAATTTCAAGCTATCAAACATCAGCTACATTGGGCTACGACTAGCTTGAAATTTGACATCATCATCTGGATTTGTTTTGTGCATTGACAGTAAAAGGTGCCACAGCTCTAAACGTTGAAAATAAGCCAATTAAGATTTATTTCCAAAGTATCCCGCGATGAACATGAAGTTCGTGAAGTAAGAAGAATGATTACTTCAAGTGCATCTTTACCAAGCTTCAGGAAGCGAACAACACAAGGAACAAGTACCGAATGGAGAGTCATCAGCAATTCAACATAAAAGAAATGGGATTAAGCAAAAAAAAATGCACATTCGCTAAGTTTGTCCTTCAAGATCAAGCAACATTTTATTCATTTGACATGAACACTTCACGAAACTGCGACAACGTAAATTCTTTAAACGCTCAGCGAATAAGTCAGTCCCATAGCTTCGATCACCGCTAATTTTTTGGGTCGAAGAAACCGGTGCATTAGACAGTGCTTCTGACCGCTTCTGGTCCTGTACCAGCGCTCCAGTTTCAGCCGAAGATGACATGAATCTTGAGCAGAGTTAACACATTTTCCGGAAGTTGTTCTTGGCCGTCTCACAGAGTTTTCAGTTGGGTCCATAGGAGAGTAGTAGCCTTTCTTTGCGGAAGTATTCGCAATATGTACTGATCACATGTGACTTTTCAATCTCGATAAGCATCGGTGTGTATCAAAGAATCTCAATTATGTCTGTACTGTGCAAAATATTGAAATGCGTGCTGTTTCAGGAAGCCCATTTCAGCCACATGCACTCAGGAATGAAGTTTTCAGTTATTATTCACAATTCATTATCGTAAATGAGCGAAGACAGATTGAATAAAGAAAGACTAAATCTTCAGATTCAGCTCTCATTCGGTCACAGTCATTTATACTATTCAATTGGAACGCCGACGGCGATTGTAGTTCGATTTGCGACTTCCTCGTGTCTGATATGACAGTTCCAAAAGCATACTCACCTGTTCCACTGCTTACCCGTTTACCTGCAGAACGTAAACGGCAGGAAAGCGAAAAACAGAAGGCTTTCAGTTTTAATTCTCACGCATGACCCCTCATCGCACTCTGCTGCAAGTCTGACCAGAAAAAGCTGGATATCAGTTTCAGAGGATGCATACAAAACAATATTTTTCCAATAAACAACCTTCCCATTTGGACGCCCACTGCGTTCATACACTTTTATTCCACTGTGATTAACCATCCCGTCCATGTACACTACAAGCAAGAAATGGGACAGAACGAAGCCCTTGCGGCGACCAATGCCAGAACTGAAAGAAGAACGCAATTTATTATCCTCTACACTGTCTATGGACACGTAGTGCATCGACTGCTGGTAGCACTATGCAATTGATGCCGCATGATTGCTGACAAACTTATAGTTTGTCATACCCGAACTGGTTATGAGGTTTCTGATGGTACGCCAAGCACGTTTAGACGGGATAAACAAATTTTCACGATTTCACAGTAACCTGGCACAGACCAATGACCTGGTATTAAGTGTTTCGCCTTGATATGAAATTACACCGCTGTTCTTCCATATATAACTCAGTTATTCTGCAGATTCTGCTTTCCTACACATTTTTGGAGAATTTTTTCGGGAGGCTTAATAAGGTGCCCGTCGACAATTGGACCACTCGGCATAGTCTCTTGTCCTGAAGAAGGGTCCGACGAGGGTAATCCTCTAGTCCAGTGGTGTATCTCTTGTAGCCATCGTGTTTTGACATACACTCAAGTGCAAGGCGCGTTAATATAGTTGGTTTAAAGTTTGATGCATGTAAATGTGGATTTAATGGATTCCCGCGACATGGCCTCTTAAGCTGTCTGCAGCTTTTGTGGCTTCATCTACTAAAGAAAAGCCGTTGCCTGCTTCTTTGCTGGCGAGTCTTCCTGTCGATCTTCGTAGTTAACGTGTTCCGGAATTTACTCACTTTATCACCGAAGTATGTGGTTTTTCTTGGCAACAAGAAACTCAGACTTGTCTTTCAGGACACTTACACTAACCTTCATTTCATATCGGAAGCGGCGAACAATCTGCCAGAATACTCTATTCGCCATGGTTATTTTCAC